TCTTACTGTTGCTCAAGCAATGAAAGCTGTGGATTTTGAAAAGTTCTAAGCTCACAAAGCATCAATGCATATGTGAGTCCAGAGACTTGTGTGACCAAGATGAAAGAGGAAATGGCTGAAGTTGAGGCTAAAAAAGCTCTTCCTTCCACTCCCTCTCTTGGAAATTGCAATGTTCTTACCACTGGAGAAGTTACACCATGTGAAAGGCCTGAAATTTTGAAAGTTATGCCAGGTGCAACTCCCATGACTGGTACTGGTTCTCCTGAGAGCAGTGATTCCTCTCCCAACAGTGATGGTACTTCCAGTGGTAATGATTCAAACAGCAAGAAGAAGTCCAAGTTGAAAGGCATTGAGGACACTAGAGAGAGTACCAAAACTGCTCAAGTTGAATGCGTCAACAAGAAAATCAAGCTTGAAAATATCACCCATGCCCACATAAAAGCAACCACCCTCCTCTACTACTAGTACCAGGAAGCGAAGAATGATCCAGAAGGAAAGGGAAGAAGTGCGGTCAGTGCCATTGTGAAAGCTGTAAATTCTGACCATGGAACTGACCTTAATCACCATACAGTGTTAAGGTATGTTAGGGAGTGCAATGCTGGCATTCCACCTGCCAGAAAGGGACCACGACCAGGGGGGAACATCTCTCCTGAAACAATGGATTTGGTTGTCACTGCATTTGAGACATTTGTTCAGCTCTGTCAGGCAAATGGTGACGCCCCTGGGACTGATTGTTCACCTCTTATTTGCTGCCTCAATGCCACCATTGGGTTGCCACCGTCACCAGTGCAGTCCAGTTTTTATTACTCGTCCTCTGTACTCATGCTAGTACTACTACTACTAGTAAATAGGACCACCATAAATCTGAAGGCACAAGTGTTGAACCGAGTTGAAGAAAGGGGAGCCCGCTGGACAACCTGTAGAAACTCAAGAATGTGGTTCCAAAATTGGAAGACTGACCTGGCTGAACTTGGATTTGCATCAAAAGGGGGAGAATGTGGAATTGATATTGCAGAAGAACAGACACAAAGAATTATCAACCTTGATGAATCCTGTTTATCCTTGGATGGATCCGATGGGCGGAGGGTAGGGAGATACTCAAAAAACCCGTACGTACCGTGCGCAGCACCTCTCTAAGTACAACAAAGTTGCTACAAGAAGAGGGAACGACAAGGCTCCAACAACTCAGGCCATGAGCTGTTAGGATCAACAGCGCTTAGTGAAAGTAATGATGAATGCGATGGATAGTTCGTCGATGTAGTTGGTCTCGCATTACCTTCAATGAACTCGATTGACCATGCCCTTACTAACCGCATTGAACAAAAAGATTGCATTCTCTGCTTTCGCCATCGCCTTTTTTACGATTTGTTTCTTTTCCATCTATGCAACGATAGTCACCTTATTAGTGTTGAAAAAAGGAGGTGTTGTCGATTTGGCGAATTCACATCATACCGCTTACTTTCCCACTGCAGTCAAAACAGGTCTCATACCAGGGGCGAATAGTACTACCATACCGGTAGCCAAAAGAAACGGAGCGAACTATGATCCTCTCGCCGATCGACCTGTCTACTTTAATAGTGGTGAACAGAAATCACCCCTTCCAGTCATCATGAATACGATTCGAACACGTTTTCCTTCGTTCCTTTTAAATGGATCAATCGCTAGTAATAACAACAACAACGGTGGCGTTGAAGCGTTTGACAACATCACTACCTTGGAACGAGAGCAAATGCGTGTGTTGGAGGTACTTGTTGATCACTATTCAAAAACGGAACAAGGTATTGATTCAGATGTCGTAGAATTGAGACATTGTCGCTTGGATATGATAGATTATCACATGTTTTCGTCCTGGGCGTCGATTATTCTTCAGGATGCCTGGCCAACGATTGAGCGGAAACTGAAAAGAAACACAGGAGAAGTAAAAGGCATTCGTAAYAGAGATAATTGGGACAAGAACATGTATCGAGAATTTTGTTTTGGTTTGTTGGAGATATTTGCGACACACAGCATCGGAAGATATAATCATACAATCTGCGACTTTGAGAAATATTCCTTGAAAATCGAGCGGGGTGATTTGCTGTCGGCAGAGTTGAAACTACGAAGCGTATCTCCCAGCTCGAACAACCTCCCCAGATTGGTATTCGTCATTATAGCATTTCAAGATGCTGGACACTTGGAAGCTCTTATTGATGCTTGCATCATGCCCCAGCATTTAATTATTGTMCATCTCGAACAGAGGTCTCCTTCATCGTTTGTCAAAAGCGTCCATCGAATAGCAAAGAAGTATGAAAATGTCGCTGTAGTCCAATTTGGAAGTATAATTTATAGAACGGATTCCGTTTCTACTGTCAACTATCAAATTATGAATTGGTTGACCGAGGAGCTGAAGGTACCATATGACTATTGGTTAACACTTGGCAATGCAGCGTATCCATTGCTTGGGGCCGAGGAGCTGACAAAGCATTTTCTCAACACTAAGAGAAATATTTGGCTTGGCGAGCTGAAGCAAAATTATGGCGAAGGGGCAAATTGGGGATACCTGGAACGAAAACGTCTTATCTTTACGACGGGAGATCAGAAATATACGCAGCGAACAAAGAAGTGGAAGCAAAATGRCTTCACGCCATTGATTCCAGATAATATCAAAACAAATATGACAAAGAAAACTAACTCGGGTAATCAGGCGGTTTTTTCACAGAAAGTGGTGAAGAAACTAGTTGCTTCCCCAGAAGTCAAGGAACTGTTGAGCATAGCCAAGTATGGATGCTGTTGCTGTCTCGAGGAGCGAACTTGGATCGCTGCTGCACGAATGATTGGTTACGGGGAAGAGGCAATGGAAGCAGCGAGCATGTTTCAGGTTTGGGGAGGGGAACCAAAGTGCGGTGACGGSAGTATGAAAAACGCTCTTCTGAAACCAAATGCCTCGATTTGCTTTAAGAGCCAAGATCTAACGCAAGGAAATATCTTCGAGCGGCATCGAACCGATTCCCAGAACACGGGCGATCCGGATTTTTTCTTCTTTCGCGGTGATAAGTTATTGGAMGAGCTACGTCTTGCTAAAGAAAGAGGGTTTCTGTTTGCGAGAAAATTCAATTCGAGAGAYCGAKACTCGCTCGAACTGATTGAAATGATCAAGAAAAACCTACACAACGATTGATATTCTTTCAAACGACATTTTCYACRACTGGTAGTGAGGAATCTTTGTAAATGCGTGTTTCAGATGTCTCTTCCCAGAGATAAAGAGATCTGCATGACTTAAATCGAGCATCAGTAAAAAAGATGGTTTCACTCAGAGAGAGCGTTCGGATTTACTTTACTAATCAACGTCATAACGACGCACTTAAATGAATCTAGAGGTGACAGCAAGCTATCAAAATCTACACCGTGAGAGAGATCAACACATCTGCGATACGATTGCTTGTCATTTTTGGTGTGTCACATCTCCTCACGAGCAGATTTCCTCACATACACTACATCGCAACGGGCCCGATGCTTTCGCGAAAACCAAATACTAGTACGAAAGCAGTCACACAGTTGACAGTATTCTGGGACGCGATGCATCGTAATAGCCAAATATTATTACCAATTATGGYCAGCATGAAAGTCACTGAAAAATTCGTTGATCGTAGAAGATAGCGAAACGAGAGCATTATCCGCGTTTTGGGCAAATTTCTTATGAGAATTTGGTGAGAGGTACGCTGTGAGAGAAATAGCGACCTATCGAACTGACAACTCTCTTTGTACCAAAAACTTTTCTCTCAGAAACCACTCCATTTCTCCGGGTTTCTTTTGGCTTGTGCGTTACGGAGTTGTTGTTCCATAGGCGTCTCTTCGAAATCATCGAGAAGTGAACTTCGCTGTTCGGCTCTCTGACCCAGGAGAGAGTTTCCAGCCATGCCATCACCAATGGATACATCCCCAAATCCAGGCTGCCGATGTTTTTGTTGTTGCTGCTGCTGTGGYTTCTGATAAGTAAAAGCAGTTTGGGCCGGTGAGGACACCGACGACTTCATGTAATTCAGCACCATCGAAGGATGTTCGACCAMACTAAAGAGAGAAGACGAAATGCTTCTCATCAAACCTCCCTCGAAGGTACCACCAGGTGGAAGTGGGAGGGGGCTATCATCAATGTCAGCCGCGCTMTGTGATATCCAATTGAAATTTTGGTTCTTATTCCTTCCACTACTGTTCTTCCGACCACGTGTTGATCCGTCTTCCTTGAAAAAAGAGGCGAACAAGTCGGACATCTGTGCCGTTAAGCCTTTCGGTGGAGATGGAGGCATAACGCAGTCATCGCCATTTGCAGCACGGTTGCCACTTGTGGCCGTCCTTTTGCCATTCATGTTATTTGCAGATCGCTGATCTTTGCCGAAAAAGGAGGTGAACAAATCAGAAATCTGTGCCGACAAACCTTTCAGTGGGGGTGCGGCGAAGTCACCTCCGTTTTCGGCATGGCTKGAATACGTTGTTGTATTTCTATCATTGTTCGACGGCGCACTGTCTCCCGAGAAGAAGGAGGTGAACAMGTCGGACACGTGTGCTTTCAAATCTTTCGGTGGCGATGGGATTATGGCCCGATCGTCGTAAACCATCTCATCGTCTGCACAGACGTTCGCCAAGCCCACTGTTGGAATTTCCTCTAGTGTGTCCTCCCCCTGCTGCTGGTCTTGAATTTCTAGAATACCGGAACACGCGTGCGTTTCTGGTTTGTAAGGAAAGAAGGGTACTGCCATCTGTTGTGGTTGCTGCTGCTTATYTTGTCCAACTTCTGGTTGACGAAGCTGCATTTGTTGGTAACTCGGCYGCCATGTCCCCTGGCTGGCCGAAGAAGATGCATCGTGTTGCCATAGCTGGTGTTCCTCGTGTCCATCCATGCCCGAAAACCTACCACTATCCGACACCTTCTGCTGCTGTCGCTGCTGTTGTCGCTGCTGCTCCGAGAAAATGTTTGAGCGAAAAGGRTTTCGCAGCGAGCCCGCTTTCGGAAAGTGCCTCGGCTCGATGCACATACCGCAGTAGGTTGCACCGGCACGTACGGTATCATACACCGAGGCAGCAAGCGGATCGACGGTTTCGGCCGCCGAAGAATGCATGGTGCCCGTCGAACGCATGGATTGCCACTGTGCCATTGTCATTTTGGCTGGATGCTGGATGGAGTTGTTTTGCATTACTTGCGAATCTGACGCTGAAAATGTGACCCTATTCACAAGCCTCCTTCCCATGTGTTGTATCCTGCGGTGCCCTCCACTATCTGTTCCACCTGAAAGCATTCCAACTGACCCTCCTTCCGTTTGTGCCGAAAGTCGCATGCGCTTGTTGCTGTCGTTGGCATTCGCATGAGAAGTAGAAAAGCCGGGTGTGACCATGCTTGCTAGGGTTGTAGCGGGTGACGACGACGACGACATCAACAAAACATTAGTCGATTCACTATTGACCCCAAGTGAACCCGTATTCCGCAAAGCTTGCATTGGTGAAGAGACGTCATCTGTATGATTTTGGCTTGTAATATTGTAGGGATCGATGAATAGTTGATTATCAATACCGCAACGATGCCGTTGTTTATTCTCTGCCACCTTGTTTTTCTGCTCTARGCTTTGCAAGTGTCGGTGTGKTTTTTGGCTCTTCCGCTTTGGTGGATGGTGCTCTAGATCCTCCGTCGCAGACTTGATCGCAACTGACGTCAACTCTGCCAGGTTCAACGCCGGCTGTAGTCCGTTGGTCTTGATGCGATCTGCCACTTTTTTCGCGATTTCGAATGCCTTCTCTCGCTCTTGGTTGGAGCGTTCTTTGGTGTTTTTTGTTACTCCTTTTCGTTTGCCCCTGGCATTTTCGGCTCTCGTTTTGGAGGAAAGGGCTCGCTCCCKCAACGCCTGGGACGTTTTGCCAACGGCTTCGTTGTATGGAATGGCTTCCCAGAGGGTTGTGCCCGCCTTTATTTTCATGAATCGCCCCCHCGGGACTTGATCCTGAACTGCCTGGACAATGGCCTTGGCGACCAACAATTTTGTGTGTTTCGGGCATCTGTTATACAGATCTCGATTGCTCCGGACCAGCCTTCTGAACCTGGTATRTTCAAAACAGCATATAACATTATAGATTAGAACAGAGTATTAGAATACAACGACAAGCATTGGGATGGTCGTCGTCGTTGTAGTTTAATCGCCAGAGGAGAGAGCAGCAACGACGCGCCGCGGGACCGGACAGAGGAAAAAAGATCAGAAAACCAATGAACAAAAAGCACGAAGGAGAGAGCAGCAACGACGCGCCGCGGGACCGGACAGAGGAAAAAAGATCAGAAAACCAATGAACAAAAAGCACGAAGGATCGAATGGTATTGTGTTGCGTGACGGTCGCCTCCTTCTGCCTCCAATGAACTCTTTGATGGAACCAACGTATCGCGACGGTGAACACGGTGAACACACGGCGTGTCATGGCGCGAAAGGAACGAACCGCTGCCGCCTCYATCCACCCGGAACTGTTCGTTCGAGGAATCCATTGTCTACTCACCATTCGTTCCCGGGGTGGTTGTTCGTCTGACCACCTCGGCCACACATTACGTCCTAGAAGAACATAGGTCGTGAACGAGAAGCAAGGCAATATGGATCGAGGATRTTGTAAGAAAACGGAGAAGCGAGAGAAGCAACGAAACTGGCAGCCCCACCCGACTCGACTCGACCCGATTCGTTGGTTCGAGCAATCGATGCCGTTGCTTCTTCCAGCTCTCCATCGCGCATCGACCGCGTCGTATTGATCCTCGAGGAGAAGAAATGRCAGTCATTGCTGTGGCTTTACTTCTCAACTACCAACAAACGAACGAAAAAGCAAGCTCACAAGCGGGGAACATCCATTGGGTTGACGCACAATCACCGTACTTACATGGGGGTGGACTTCTCCGGGCGGGCGGGCCAACGAGGATGGCTGGCCATCGTTGCTCCTGCCGCCACCAGATCCGTGTTGCTCCATTCCGACGCCACAACCCTTCGTTGTTGCCTTCTCGTTAATTATTTGACGCTATTGCAGTAGTTGCTACCGTGTTCGGATTTAGCGTTTGACGGATCGAGATAGTGCTGATGGATTGATCGATCGATTGAACATTGATCCACAATCACCACGCGTTTCAAAGGCCTGCTCGGATCTAGCCAGTGCTTGTTTTTTCGACCTCCAAAGCGATTGCCAAAGCGATTGATTCGGCTTCGTTTTCTCTTCGATTGGATTGGATTGGATTGGATTCGATTCGATTCGTTTTTAGATTTTAATCACAAGCAATGCGTTGGCGAATTGCAGTTCGGTACGTATTGTACGGGTACTTCGTACCCTATCAGCAACTGAGGAAACAAAATACGTAACTTTTGAGAACGCGACGAAGGCCGTTGTCACGAGACTTGCAGCGGGGAATATGAGTACGATACGGTTCGACAAGTGCCAACGAGCAGAATCAGGTCCTAAAGAGTGATGTTACGAGAAAAGTTTGGAATTGCTATGTTTTTGTTAGGAAGATGTATCTCGGCCCTTGCCTTTTGTGAAGGAAAGAAATTGTGAAGARCATAGCCCTTGTTGCCATCCCTATATGTAGCAGTTGCCAGGAGCATTAAAAATAGATTATTTGTCTWAAASATGATATGAATTCCTCATGGCCTAATTGGAGACGAGGACGGTCMTCAAGTCGATATTCTTACTTAATGCTAGTACAATTATCACAACTTACCCTAATAATTATCCCCGTGTTTTCGAACATTTTGAGATTCCCCTCATCCTTAGTGCAAATACAGCACGGTACGAAATGCTCGAGACGCTCCTCGATTTTTTATTCCTTTTGAGGGCTGGAGAAGTCTGTCCATSTTCCGTAGTTGCGTTTTTCACCGCAACTTCGAGGATCGAAGCCTAAAATATTTTTGAAATGAGAACGCGCCTTCTTTTTCTCGCTATTTTGTGACTTGGCAGCATCGTATCGTTAATACTGTAATGCATCGCAATTACAATAGGTTCTCGTACCTGAACCCATCCCGAGTTCATCAAAAAAGCTGTCCAAGTTGTACGACACATAGGTGTCCACCTTCAAACTCGTTGCTCTTGTAACCTCCTCCCCAACAATCTCCGTAAACCAGCTTTATACTGTGGCAAGATTTATTTTGCTTTTCGGTCGATCAAATTTGTAACAAAGATCCATCAGTCTTCCAGATAAATCAAAATCCAATTATGTTTTCTCGTACAGCAACCGCTACAGTTGCCAAGTCCGCGAAYTCCTTTCTTCGTTCGCGAGTCGCAAACACGGTGCGGGACACTAGCAATGGTAATCTTCTCCGCCTCACTCTCTGCCGTGGTTTTGCCGCCGAATTCGATCGCAGCAAACCGCACGTGAACATCGGGACAATCGGCCACGTCGATCACGGAAAGACGACGCTCACCCAGGCCATCACGAAGGTCTTGAGTGAAACTGGCGCCGCCGAAGCCATGACCTACGAAGATATCGATCGATCTCCCGAAGAAAAAGCAAGAAAAATTACTATCAATACCACCCATATCGAATACGAAACAGGCACACGCCATTATGGTCACATCGATTGGTGAGTTCAAGAAAATGTGGTTTTGATGTTTACRATGGACTAAAAWGGAGGAAATTTTCTGTGATTTGGTCCACAAACCAAGACCTCAAACAAGGACYATACAATGGCATGAGTTTTCGGGCCTCTCATTCTTTTTTTGCCTTACTTCATTGGGTTCATAAATACCCATTTGACGTTTCTGTTCATGAATCTTTTCGATTTCGTGTACTCTATACATTTTCTGAAACGAATATACGATATGACACAACTCTCGTGACCACTGTTGACCCATAAATCGATATCCAATGCAAACAAAAACAGTCCCGGTCACGCGGATTACGTCAAAAATATGATTACCGGAGCAGCTCAAATGGACGGTGGAATTTTGGTCGTTGCCGCTACCGATGGTCCAATGCCCCAGACTAGAGAACACATCCTATTAGCGAARCAGGTAGGCATTCCCAATCTAGTCGTTTTTATGAACAAATGCGATCTTGTCGACGACGAAGAGTTGCTTGAACTCGTCGAAATGGAAATTCGCGAATTGTTGAGCGAGTACGGTTACGACGGAGATGAAATTCCAATCGTTCGGGGATCTGCCCTGGCCGCTGCGGAGGGAAARAACCCCGAAATGGGCCGCGATCGAGTTCTCGAATTGATGGACACCGTGGACGAGAACATCCCCGAACCAGAACGTGTTCTCGACAAGGATTTCTTGATGAGTATCGAGGATACCTTTTCGATTGCCGGTCGTGGAACCGTTGTGACAGGACGAGTCGAACAAGGTATTGTGAACGTCGGAGATGACCTTGAGGTGATCGGATTCGACCAGGACCAAAAGACTACCTGTACCGGAGTTGAAATGTTCCGTAAGTTGCTAGACCAAGGTATGGCGGGTGACAATATYGGTGCCCTCTTGCGTGGTTTGAAGAGAGAGGAGGTTCGCAGGGGACAAGTTCTTGTCAAGCCAGGCAGTATCAAGACTGCCACTAAGTTCCAGGCCGAGATTTATGCCTTGACCAAGGAAGAAGGTGGACGTCACAAACCTTTCATGACGAACTACCGTCCWCAGTTTTTCCTCCGAACAGCCGATGTCACCGGGGCTTTGCACCTGCAAGAGGGAACCGAAATGGTCATGCCGGGAGACAACACWACTGTAACTGTTGAGTTGATCACCCCTATTGCCATGGAACCCGGTGTGCGTTTCAACATGAGAGAGGGTGGAATGACTGTTGGTACCGGTGTAATTACAAAGGTCTTAGAGTAGAATCGAATCGACTCTGAAGACAAATACAAGAACTAAATAGCACGTATTATTTAATTTAGTGCTACTAGTCTAGTTAGTCACAATAATCTGTTGGAAAAGGCYTTCCGATGCATCCGCAATCGGCCCTCGTTTTTAATTTATGTCCTCGATAGTCTCTTTCTGATCGAGCCWCAACTCGTATTTCTCTCAGGTTGAGGTATACATATCTAGACTATGCACATTCTTTGCAAACACGAGAGGATAAAACTTGGAACAAAACACTCGTCCGGGTATTATAGTACGACAAGAAACCAAATCGCMRTCTATCCGATTATTGTTATCTCAATAGATATATTTATCGTTTACGCCGGTGACGGATTAGCCAAGCCTATAACGCCGAAAGCAATTCGAGGTCCTGCGTTCCCCGTAGAGATCGAATTTTCCTGTCCTCCTCGGCCTTCGTCGTCGGCACCGGCGCAAATGACCATGGATCGTCCAATAACCGAGTGGGGTCCGAAAATTTTGATCTTCGAATCGTCCATTTTGATAGTCGCCACACCGGAMTCATCGGCAGTAAGATTGCCGAGGTCGCCCTCCATTTTCAAAGCAGCATCGTCCGAGGGAGCCCCGTGTGTCTTGCCTGTTTGTGTTGTCGCCGTTGTGKAACAAAGCGAACGTACCCATCAGATCAAATGAAGGCAGCACCAACGAGTAATGCGTATAGAAGAAAAGAGATATGATGGGTTAGGGAACCTCTAATCGATATTTCTTGCTTGCTGAKGAAAGACAATGCAACGTTTGCATTGGGCCCGACAGTACAATACGATGCTTGAGGAGAAATTCCGGACTCCTAGAACAGATGCTCCCTATTTCAGACCTATCCAACTTACCAAACGGATTGAAGATATTTCCAGTCGAAGATGATCCATCTCGGACATCTCCATAGGTACAGACGGAAATTCCGTGCCTCTGRCCCGGCGTAAGTCCACGAATAGTTCCCTCGACAACGGTGGGACCGTCTTCTTGAGTCTGGGACATGGTTAGAGAACCGGAAACACCGGAGCTTCCTTCGGGATAGAAAACGCAAACACAAGTGGCCATCGTTATGCTCTTTATACTTAGTGTGGATTTTCGGGTGTTTCTTTTTTCTTCGTAGGTCGGTGAAGCGTTGTTGCAAAACCAATAGATCGATTCATGAAAGAGCTACCGTACGGGGACCAAACAGGCAGTGTGTACGATACCAGTGGAGGGTGCCGTGTGGACCTTCTCATAATTCCCACAAACGCAACTACAAACGCTGCAGTTTTAACCCCAAAGCTTCCTCTCTTTCAGTCTTCWMAGAGGATTAATTGCCGCAAGTTTGTCCTCCTCCACCCAAAACTCTGCTCAGTATCGGACCACGACAGACAAATTGACTTGTACGATCGAAATTACGTAAMGGTACGTACCATGAGTTAGTCCCTTTTTTGCTTTTCGTACCCGTACGCGAGTTCAGGAAGACAATTAGAAGTATTGTTTGCCCACGAAAATGTTTAGATACCGGTACGAGGCGAAATACGTAGTACTTTAATAGTTGTAGATGCGAGTACCGTACTCGATACTACTCCTACCAATTACTGAAAAAAAGATCGCTATTACTCCTACCAGTACAACCAGAAGATATTTGTACCAAGATCTATTTTGCTGAGACAATGATAAGTATTGATACAGATAGTAGTAGCTACTATATTTCAAAGGTTCCACCATAATCAAACGTACTACCTCCCGCTCCAGGTGAGGCAGGTGTGCCGCTCTGGACCCCCGTGTTRTAGTCATCGCCAGATGTTATATCAGAAGGGGGTAAGCCTAATTCGTCATTTGATTCCGATTGACGCTGCTGTATGTATTCTGCGTATGTAGTAGCGGCGGAAGAAGCGCCTTCTGTATTCTGTGGCTGGCGCTGAAAATCTGCTTCTCGACGAGGATCCCCCCTCTGGTCCGAAAGAAGAGATTCCGCATACGCCGTTACCAGATCTTGATTCTGTTGCGATGGATTTTGCGTATTGAGAGAATCAGGCTGCGAATAAGTATTTTCATTTGGAAAGCCATACGTGTCAATCGTTTTTTCCTGCGCTGGCATTGTTTGGTCACTGGAATAAGATTGCGAATCCAAGTTTCCATTCGAGAAGTTTGGTTCAGCCGCATCAGCCCATCCTTTTGATGATTGATTAGGAGAGYTAGTTTGTGAGGTTGGTGTCCYATACACCGAAAAGGGATGTGAATATTTGTTTTCACTACCGAATGCTGGAAAATTGGTCTGATCCGACTGGTCGAGCGAATAAGGTTGCGAGTCTGATGTCCCGTAAGAAAGTTCAGACATAGTATCCGAGAGAGCTTGCGGAAATTTATTTTCAGTAGGATATCCTGTTGTTGCGGTGGAGTTGGTATCTTGCGACGACCAATCAAAAGACGAAGTTTGAGAATCGTAGTTTTCGTAGGGAAGATTCGTTTTTAAATCTGAATAAGATTCTGATTCCAAAGAAGCAGCTGTTTCTGGTGTTGCATTCGAGTTGTTCCTTTCTTCGCGGCCTCCATCTATATTTGAACCAGAAATTGAGTTGGGAGATTCAGTTGTTCCCGAGTTCGAATAGTATTGTGGATTGAAATTTCCAACCGAGAAGTTCGTTGTAGTAGTTGCGTTGGTGCTCTTTGTTTCCTGGAAAGATTGCGAGTTTAATTCGCGCGACCCCTCAGCATCAGAAACAGATCGCTGTATTCCAATGGAATAATTAGTGCGTTCATTCGAACCGAACAGTTCTTGTTTTGTTTTTGAAGGGAAGTCCAATGTCCTGTCAGCGAGAGAGACATTTCTTTCTCCGATTTGGATCGATTCTGTATAATTCGGGAATGATGAATTGAAGTTCGTGGATGCCAACGCTTCCATCGGCGGCGAAACAACAGGCGATAGTTTGTCAGTAGAGTTGTCATCCCATGAAGATTTTGCAACATTTGTTTGTTTGGTATAATTGTATTGAAAATGAAGAATTGACTGCTCGTCGGACACACGATCCGTAGTCGCTTCTGCTCCGTTCTCTCCTTTGGAAGCAGAAACGTCTTGAAGGCTCTTCGATTGGCTTATGAATAAGCCGATGTGCTCCAAGACACCAAGATACGTCTCTCTGATGAACAAGTTATAGTTAACGACCATACTCAGGTTTGGGTGCTTCATCAAATCATTCTCTGTAACTGAGATGGGGGCAAACTCTACATCTAACAACCTTTGATAATGCGACTGAATTCTCATCCCAACTTCCAATTCCCATGTGTCTAGCAGCTTTTCCAGAAGCCTATCTCCTTGTTCTTTACCATCCTCAGCAAAAGTTTTTTGTATTTGATCAAGTACTTCTGGTTCCTCTTTCTGCAAAAAATTGTAAAGAAAAGCCACCCAAACTTCCTCTGAAAGCGCTCCATTAGTGGTCGAAATGACCAACTGGGAAGGCTCTAGAGTTGTTGCCCAATTGCTATCACTATTTTGYTGCAAAAAGTCAAGATTTGCGTCGATGTATCCAGCCGTTACGTCACAAAATCCAAAGATCACTAAATATCTGGCAGGTGCATAGGTCAAACCGTACGACAAATATAATGGGGCTGGTCCCACTGCATCGATATCACTTGTCACAAAGAATTGAAAGGCACCGTCCATTTTTCGAAATCCAGGCTTCAAGTTGGMAAACTGACTATCATGGTTGGCTAGATCACCAAGTGGAACAATTTGAGCGTCTTTGCGGTCAGGTGATCTCCAACTACGAGTAAAAACGATTGTGTAAGCCCATTTGACTAAGTCACAAAAGCTCAATTCCTCATTGTTGCTTTTCTGAAGTCCTACCAGCCATTGATGAAAGTCGGTTGGTATCAATGGTTTTCCTCCGTTAGTTCCTTGAGTTGAAAGTAACTTTTCGAAGAGTTCTAAGCATGCTTGGAATTGTAGACTCTGGATTCTTAAGAAGTCGCCAGTCATGCGTTCCACATAGTTCCGCTCTACCTCATCCAAATACAGCCCAGTAGAAAACTCGGAGGGCAAAGATTTCCACCACTCGTACCACCGAGAGTTTGAATCCAGATAGACTTCTTGAATTAATTTGTAAACAAGCGTATACTCCGGTAGATAATCTTGGTTGGATTGTGATCCCATTTCTAGTTCTGTCTCAATCCATGCGCAAACATTTTGCATATCGATTTCACTATAATACGGTAAAAATGAATCACCAGTGATATCGCTCGTGAAAATAACCTGCGCCGGAACGGTAATAATAGCATTCCCCTGTTCGATGAATTTTGTAGACCTCAAGCTCCAGTCCCCCAGTGCGTCCTCAGCGAGTTCTATACCGTCGGCTAGGACGACTTCGCATCTGCGGGCCCAGTCCGAGAGAGACCCCATGTCGCGACATTTTGTTTCCTTTTCGAAGGGTCCACGTTGTGCAGAATATAAAGCCGAGGAAAACGGCAACAAAGAAACGTGTTGAAACGATCGATGAGATATCCTGGGAGCCGATAATTTAGACGATGGCGCMCCCGACTGCCGTATTCGATATCCCATGCCAACATYGTTTCGTCGACCACCTTCTCTTTGCATACRATTTGTTTTGGGAAATCGAAAAGAAAATGCCGATATTGATATCGATGAAAATGCGATCATGATCATCGGCGTAGAATATCGAAAAAGCCACAACAACCGCGAAAGGAGCCGTAAAACCGACATTGTGGGTATGTTTAGGTTACCGAAGGTTGAAATCACCTTAGCTTGGCAATATTTTGTTGCTCGCCCAAATTTCCCCCTCAGAGAAGTTTGAAGGCAGTCCACAATTCTATTCGGACATTATGCGCTGCTTCCATCCAGTTTTGCAGCTTCAAGTGAGGAAGAAATTAATTTGTCGAAGAGACGTTTCTCAGTTTTCATCCTATTTTCTGTTGCATTATTTTTTGACAATCTTCTATTTCTCATYCATGAAGGTGRACARTGTTGGGTCCGTTTCCAAAATTTCCCGTTACTTCTGAATTCACAAAACACGCACTCATTCGCGCGTTTCTACAGGTTTGATTATCAGCAATGGTATTNGTTGTCTTTTAGTGTGTTTGTCGGCTTGTCGGCTTGTTGATACTAGTAGCAACCAGTAGCGTGAGGAATGAACATATTTTCTGATGAAAAGAAAATAATGTGAGAGTACAGAAAATGTGTTCATTTCTTACTCTATTGTTGAATATCGAAATTTTCATGTTTTCCTTTGTACCAAAATAATAGGGCGCGTGTTTTGGTGAGTCTTTCTAGTCTTTCCGTTGAAAATAATTAAGATTCCAGATTCCRAAAAATGACTGCAGTGGAGCTGGCATCCTCTCAGTCTGTCCGTTGAATGTCTTGATTCCCGTTATTCTAGATCTCTAGATTAGAGTTTTAGAGATTTAGAATAACGGGAATCACCCATTAAGTACGGTACTGTGTACGGTATTATTACCGATTTTACGTTTATGGAAGGAGAGTACTATGTGCACTGCTATCGTAACGTACCGTACGTATTAGTTCTCGTGCTGTCTGTAATAAAGGGAATCAAAGTTGAAGACAAARAAGGCAGACTCCATCGACAAAATGGAGATTGCCGGAATCGAACCGGCGACCTTGTGCATGCTAAGCACACGCGCTACCAACTGCGCCAAACCCCCGTTTCCGTCACGGGGAATCGAACCCCGGTCTCCCGCGTGACAGGCGGGGATACTAGCCACTATACTATGACGGACTTATTTAGCTCTTGCTGGTGAGTGTCACACGACTTTTCATTCACAAACTCAAAGTAGAAAAACAGAGGTGTCGATGCTGTACGTGCCATTTCTAATGATTCAGGACAACAGGATCTGTTGCAAGTTCAATGGCGCTGGCCTTTGGCTTGACATCCACAGTGATGTACAACACATGGCTCAAGTTTTCAAGAAGAGTACTACTCCTTCTCCTTGCTCTTCACAAACACCCAGATGCCACCATGGTGAATATCCGAAACAAAAACAAGAAGAAGAACAAAGAAGTGGATGATGGTTACATCAAAGCCGCTACTATTGGAACAAGTATCCATGGCTTGGAGAACAATATGTTTGAACTGCAGCTGATGGACTAGTACTACTAGAGCAACTCATCAAAGCCTCTGGTGGAGACTGGTAGTANTATCCATGGCTTGGAGAACAATATGTTTGAACTGCAGCTGATGGACTAGTACTACTAGAGCAACTCATCAAAGCCTCTGGTGGAGACTGGTAGTACAAACAAAGACCATTCTACAATGCACCATGCTGGAAGGAAAACACRGCATACACCACCACCATCAATAGTGTGTTTGTCTTTGCGCCTGATGGGAGGATCRGGATATCAGTCTTCAACTGTCCTGGCATATGGCATGACCTTGCTGGGAGTGGATAATCTCTTTACTAGTACAAACCCCTTCATGATCCTTGTACTACTACCTTTCATATCTGGAATGTTGGAAAATTCTCTTCTTTTAAGAAGCACACAATGACTGGTAAACAATATCACATGATGCAACAAGAAAGGGAATAAGGTGACCATCCTCCAAGTTATTTTGAAAGAAGAACCAAAGCTGTGCACAAAATAACGTGCACTTTTTGTAGTCGTAGTAGTAGTATTCTTTAGTAGTGTTTATTAGATTGCTCTAATTAGTATTGTGAGACTAAAACTAATGAAATAGACTGAATCCACCTCTCACGTGCTTTCCCGTGTTATACTGGATTCAGTGAGTTATGATTGAGTTCAATCGATAGTAGAAATATACATCCAAGCAGTACAAGTCAAGTGTGTGCTACTTTCCTAAGTTCTCGGATGGTGTAGGACTTGGTACTGCTCGTACGGAGTGACTTTAGAACAGAACTCACGATCGATTAGTTCTGTTCTGAATTCTTGTTCCGAGAATTGTATACATGTGCATCCAGTGATGCTTTGAGTTATATAGTAGTGATGCAGACTATATACATGTGTATATAGTTCTTATTGACTCGTGAAGTGTATATATATATATATATATATATATAGTACTCGTACAACCGTACTAATAGTTCTAGTAGTACTATATAGTTTTTCGATACTTATATATATAGTTTTTGGGTCCCGAGGACTCATGATTGGATCCACGAGTGAGCCTCCGTACTGTTCCTACGGTACTCGTTGCAAGCTGAAGCAAAAGGTCCACTATGGTCAGCACTTCCTCCCTTCATTTCAGTAAGCAGTCACCATCAATGACTCCGAAGAAGGAGCCTGCTGCTGGTGCTTGACATAGTCATCCTTCTTCTATGGCAGCAGGACAAGACAACAAGGAATATCCTGCAAATAGGAAAAAGAAAATGCTCACTACTACTGACTCATCTGCTGCTGCTACTTTATAGTCCTCATCTTCTYCTCATCCAATCATGCCACGACAGGCTGGTGAGCCCCTTCCACCACCTTCTCCTCTTTATTGCTCCCTTTTGATTAGGATACTTTGAGAGCAGCAGCAGACAAAGAGAGGACAGTTTGTCTGCTGCCTCATCAGACTCTAGCAGTATCTCATTGGCAGACACTAGTATCATTGATCCAATTAAGAAACTGCTGATAGAGGCCAAGGAACATCTAGATAAGCTTTAGGAATATTTATGCAATATGAACAACAAAAATTAGTAATTTGTTTGATATCAATTATCATGAAGCAAGTGATTTAGTACTAGTAGCTTCGCTAGGGGGCTGGGTGTGCAATKATGGTTACTGCTGCTACTGCTGCTGCTGTTCTCCTAGTAGTCTAGAAATAGCTTGCATTGTGGTGGTCAAAATCATAAATTGACTAGCCAGGAAGGAATTTCAGCTGTGTAATTATTGCAACAGCATTGAAACACTTGTCATGCTTCTCCATTATGTCATTCCTTGGACTACTACTAGTACTAGTATGTCTGAAATGATTTGCAAGCAAGTTAAATTGCTTCAGTCTACCATTAATACTCTCATGTCTTCTCTGGACAACATTCCTCTCTTCTTTCCAGATCTCCATAATCATTCCGATCTGAGGCCTCTTCATTTCAAATCTCCTTTGTATCCCTCATCCACTTCAACTCGTCCTTAATCTTTGCTTGTARAACAAAYGAGTCAATCTGCCCCAGAAGAACATTGCTCCATCATCAGTGCTTGCAGCATACAGATCATTGACCCAACAATATGTTCAGTTGCAATACAAACACCAACCTCACATGTGAAGCCCACCAGTCCCTTCAGTTTCTTCAAGTACTGGTACTTCTTATCAAATGGCCAGGGTTCAAATACTGAGCAATATGTTCCATCCACTGATATGAGATACAATGCCCTTGTTTCCTTTCCAAGTCCATCAAAATGATTCTCTAAATCAACAGTAATGCAATCATTTAAGSTATTTATTTTTTAAATGAAAACCAGGGCCATTTCCAGAGTGTTGTCTTTGGAGGCCACCCAAAGACRGAGGTGATTCTGAGGAGTAGACCTTGAGGAAAACAAGTGCTTACAATCAACTTCARTCTTTTCCTTCTCACTGAGGGGTCCTCCCTCCCAGATGTGGTTGAAAATGTCTGTAATCACCTCTCACAGAGGAGCTCCAAAAAATGCTCTGATTTGTTTGTCTTATTGGATTGTATCCCTGATCACTTCTTCAATTGATTTCTCTGATACTAGTTTCATTGCTGATTTTGAGTACTAGTAATAAGAATGAGCTGATCATGTTGCTTGTCTTGCTGCAAGCTCTTGCAGTTTGCTGCTGCTAAGCCCAAGAATGTGGAAAAACAGGAGTTGATCAAGAAATTATCAAGAACAAATTGTCAAATGGGTGATTCCCGTAAACAWAGATTTAAGTAAAATCGTATTAGACTTCAGACGTGCACACATAGAAGTATGTGTTTTTGACACAGATACATAGATATTTGGTTCAGGCAGGCTCTCGACAACCAAAAGTATGCAAAAAACACATAGATTTTTTGGAATCCTCGATTCAAAAATTCATTAGTCACGAGCAACTGACAGCCAATTCTCAAGTGTCAACGAGCACCAGGGGAGCCCGCCAAAACAAATCTAATTTGAAGCAAAATTCCATATTCCTAAATTAAGCACATGTAGCGCGCCATAATTAAATATCTATGATTCTAAGTTTTTACATACTCATTCCCGTTGAGTCATAGACGCAAAGTATGTCAGCATAGATTCTATGTTTACGGGAATGACCCAATATATTTCCCAAGTACTACACCAATTTCTGATTCATTCTCGATCTATTCTCCATCTAGATATGTTAAGCATCTATTTTTTAGACGTCATCAYGGCAGCTCTTAAATAGGATGCGCCAAACAAACTTGGTAATGGCAGTTTACGTAAGGTATTTCATTTATTCTTAATGTGCGCAATAGTTGCTCTACTTCCTATGACTCCARGCCACAATAAACTGTTCAAATTAGTCTAAAGTAAAGTCTTAATCTAGACATTCTTGGACTGGTTTGAACAACGATAAAATTTCTGTTCCAAAGATAACCGTTTTGATTTTGTACGATGATGTTTGTCTCCTTTACATCATTCAGGGCAAAAAACTGGGTCAATAGGTGACAATAATTAGAGTTTTCAATGCTCCTTATTACTTAGTGATTACAACTAAACAGTAAGTGAGTTGTGTACTCGTACTTTGTTGACAGAAAGGATAATGGCGTTTGTAGGTGCACGGCTGCTTGATTAAATAACTTTTGATAGTGGTCGATCTTGGGCTGTTAGTTCCAGGTCGTTTGTACCGTCTAACAACTCCTTGTTATCTCGCCAAAAGAAAAACCACACAAGAACAGTTCCAAGAACCATGACGGATAAAGGAATTAGACCCCACAGAGCGGTCTCCCAGTCACCAACTCCATTCATCGATGGCGCGATTGTCAAGGCAATAATGCTCATCAGTTTAATCAGGATGTTCAGCGAAGGACCACTAGTATCTTTGAAGGGATCTCCCACAGTGTCACCAACGACACATGCTTTATGTATATCCGTCCCTTTTCCTCCATGAGCTCCTTCAATTTCAATGTACTTCTTTGCGTTGTCCCAAGCACCTCCACCATTTGCCATCATAGTAGCCAACATCATACCAGATGCGATGGACCCTCCAAGTAAGCCCGCAAGGCAGTTTGGACCAACCAAGAATCCAATAGTGGCCGGCGAAAGGATTGCATAGATACCGGGGAGAATCATTTCTTGGAGTGAGAATTTGGTCGAGATTTCCACACACCTATCTGAATCAGCTTCAGCGGTTCCCTCTCGCAAACCTGGAGTATCTTGAAATTGACGACGAACTTCATCAATAATAGCGCCGGCAGTCTTCGCGAGGAAAAAGAATAACGAAATAAGAATGGTTCTATACCAGYAATAAAAATAAGGCGAGGATCATATGCTCGTACTATCTCCTTACCTTTCGTACCGACAGCATCGTGAGGCCAGCAAAAACAAAGGGTAGAGTGCCACCGATGAGAACCCCGCTCAGGACTATCGGATCTCCAATATCGACATTTTCTATTCCGGCCTTGTCTTTGAATGCAGCTAACAAAGAGATCGCAGTCAAAACAGCCGATCCAATGGCAAAGCCCTTTCCAGTAGCAGCAGTAGTGTTTCCGAGAGCATCAAGTGCGTCGGTTGTCTCACGGACACGACCTTCCATATGTGCCATTTCCGCAATGCCACCAGCATTATCAGCAATTGGTCCATAGGCGTCGGTGGCAAGAGTGAAACTGAGTGTACTCAACATACCTACAGATGACATGGCAATGCCGTACGATGAATACAGCGCATTGCAGGAAAGAATTGTGACGACAAGTATTATCGCGGGTAAAACCGTCGAAATCATACCGATTCCCAGTCCTTGGATGACAACAGTTCCTGGACCAGTGATACCAGCTTCGGCAATCGATTGAGTCGGCCAGTATGAATAAGAAGTGAAGTATTCTGTGACTTGACCAATTAAGACTCCAGCGAAAAGCCCGATGGAGATGCATCCAAAAATAGCCCAGCCATCACTTTCGCGTCCTTCGAAGAAAAAGAACATGATAAGCGCAGAGAACCCGAGGATAATAATTGATGCAACGCATGTGCCYTTGTGAAGTGCGAATAGCATCTCTTTTTGAGATGCGTCGTCTTTTGTGCCTACTACGTAATACCCGGCCATCGATGCGATGATTCCGATTCCCGCCACCCACAATGGCAGCATGACTAATACTGTTCCAGAAAATTTGGTGTCAATTTAGGATGCTCGTGAGAAGATAGCACCAAACTCGAAATAAATCTTCTCTGTCGCACTAAAACATCAAAATGCTATCGAAGTGACTTACCGATATCTCCATTTGCTAGTGCGACAGCAGCAATGATCGAACCAACGAAAGACTCGAATAGATCTGCACTCATTCCGGCAACATCACCYACGTTGTCTCCAACATTGTCAGCTATGACAGCAGGATTACGAGCGTCATCTTCAGGGATATCCATTTCGACCTTACCAACCAAATCAGCACCTTTAATGTAAGCGAAGATGAGGAGACAGGAAGAGAAAACGAGACACATWGAGGGTAAACATGAGAGAAATACTGTCTTTCAAAGGATTGTTCACCAACATTCGAATTTCCTTGCTAATTTCTATTCAATGGGCAACATGGGGACCTACCAACGTCAGCCGCTTTGGTGTAAATTCCACCGGCCACACGAGTAAAAAGCGCAATAGATGATGCACCGAAGCCGAACGCCGCAAGAGTGTCGGATGCAATGATGAGTTTTTCCGTTTGGTTAAAGTTGCTATAACCCAGGGTTAAACAGAAAAGAGCAACAGACAAACCCGCAAGGCCCATTCCTACTACAACAAACCCAGTCACAGATCCACCGGTAAACGCAACACGCAAGGCCGCATTAAGTCCACCTTTATCGGCCGCATTTGCTGTTCGGACGTTAGCATCGGTCGCTGCCATCATGCCTCTCCACCCAGAAAAGGCCGAGAGGGACGCTCCAAACAAGAAAGCTAGAGAGTATCGGAGTCCGTCGAACCAGTTGGTACCCGAAGGTGGGTCAAGTGCGTACAGAGTGAATAGCGCACAAAATATGATCGCGACGAAAATTGCTAAGAATGTATACTCTGTCAGAAGAAATGCACGGGCTCCTGAGTTGATTTTGTCAGAAATTCGATTCATCGTCGTATTTCCTCTCTCTGATTGCTTTACCTGTGACATAATCGAAGATGCAGCGATGCAAACAAAAATAAGAGAACGACGTTCGTTTAGATACTCATGTTGGTAACGGAAACGATCGATCAACCATTTTCGTTTTCGATGCTTCCGGAATAAACTACAGGAACTACGTACATTAGCAGCAAGAATAATTGAGAAGATCAAGGCTACTCCACCGGAAGCGATTCCAAGCGAAACGGCCTCGATAGGAGTTGCATCGCACGGAAAAGATCCCTCTTCTACACCGAACGACGAGCAATTGATCGCCTCAGCATTCATCCTTTCTGATAAGCGAAATGTAGTAGTGCAATTGAAATTGAGGGTCTCTGGTCTGGAAGGAAGACMGAATAGAATCGTCCTCTTTTTATCTATCGGTGTTTCGACGGTAAATAGAGCTGCTCTTCGTGTCAGAGCTTCGTGCAGTAACGTCGCAGATGTAGGAGTAAAGTACTTCGTAGCATCAAAGGCATGGGCGAATACAAGACAATGCTAAAGTATCGTATTCTACGTCCGTACCGTACAATCCGGTACTGTGAGTTGTGAGTCATTCTTAACTCTAAAMCATATCGTTAGTTASAGATTTCTTGTGATTTTGAAGAGAACACAGCAATCCCGTAGTTCGTACGAAGTACAGTACTAATGTTATTTCGTAGAAGTACAAGTACCGGCCCGTAGCTCGTTTCTTTAGGATTCATGTCGGGTCATTAGTCATTATGATACTATAGCTCAAATGCCTGTCATTTCTTCTTGAATCAATCGAGTCGTAGATACTCTAATAATTTTACTTCACTTGTTGCTGTTGACGAGAAAAATCCTATTTCGGATCGCCAATCATGTCATCAA